AAAGGCTGTGTTTTGTCTTGAGCCGCCAAAGTCCTGGTTTGCATCATGAGGTCATGTTTAGGATTACAAATGTTTGCACAAATAGCATCTTACAGTATCTCACATCGCCTCTCTCCACCTTTGCTAACGGGACTTTTGGAGGCGCAGAGGAACAGGAAAAGAAACTGTTCTTCGGTCCCAGATGTGTTAAAATTGAAGATTAAACCCACAGGGCATGAGAAGGGCACCACAAATATGGGAGGGGGCTGAATTCATGGGGTTGCTCACACTCCAAAATATATCCCATGCCTACAACCCCTCTCCATTAATATCAGTGGAGGAGAGTTGTAGGCACCAGCACAGCCCAATTAAGGTTGGATTGATACAAGAAAAACCCTCATGTAGGACATACCATTTCCATGGTATCTTCAGGGCAGGCTGATCTTTTTTATTTTGACTTTTTAAGGCACCTCTCTGGATTCAAAGCCTTCTGAAATTGTATGTGAATACTTTGATAAACCGAGTAGAAGTAGTTTTGGTAAAAAAATGGAAGATTTTTTCATTAGTTTGCTGGTATTTGCAAGGTGTTTCACAGCTGAAGGCAGCAGTTCAATTATCACTATCTTGCAGCCAGAAAATATTTGGAAAATGAAGCAAATTAAAATGTGCTAGCAGAGCACATCTCACTGCCTTCCCATGTCCAGTCCTGATCCATCAGTCACTTCTGCTGCCAGGGAGCCCACAAAATGCCAATCCCCCCACAGCTCAAAACAGCCCATCCTGCTGCTGACCGGTATCACAGCAAATTTGTTCAAGACTGATGAAATTTATGGATTTTAAGTTTGCTTAGAAGAATTAACTGAAACTCTAGAGAACTACCCATGGGAAATCAAAGTTACAGGAATGGTAAACTTACAAAAACCAGAAAATTCACAGGTTAAAGTCACTGGGGGGCAATGCACTCACCAGTACTTTCTGCCTTACCTGGGTGTTTAGGTGGGAGATTTTTACATTGTGCAATGACTGCTGGAGCTGAGCTCTGAATGTCTGTCATAAAAGCACTCAGGCTGTGGGTGACTCACATTGGGAAACTGAAATTATGAAGACCCTTTTTTTATTCATCACTGCCTGCCTTCTTTCCTCACTGATAATACAGGGTCAGCATCCTCTCAAAATGACTGGAAAAGGAAACAGTGCATGTGAAACTCTCAGACACTGCTGTCATGAGCACCATGGAAAAACCATACGGAAATGAATAATTTTGTGCCCAAAGCACAGTTTGAATAACAGGCAGTAAAAAGCCCCTTCGCTGCACATTAAACAAGAGGAGAATAAATCATGAGGGGAGCTGCTCCCTCAGGAGCAGCAAGCATTGCCAATGCAGAGTGAGGGGGATGCCTGTAGGAAAAGGGCGTGGATAACTCAATTACAGTTCATCTGGATGAGGAAAACCAGGCAAACTCTGGACACTCCGGGCTGCTGAATGCTGGAGCGTAGAGCCTCAGTAGCCTTTCAGAGTATATTGTTTCACACACGTATTTATGTTTGTGTGTGCATGGGCTTCGGGGTATATGGAAAATAAGTGGGATAAGCTTTGGCTCTGTGCCAGGCTGAGTGCTCTACACAGCTACAGCGCTGCTGGTCAGCTGGAAGCACAGGCTGAGGTCTAGATAAAAAATATAAAATCTTTGGAATATCAACTGATCTGTTTGTGGAGTATCTGTCAATGGCTACAGCACCACTGGCTGGACAAACACAGCTCTCTAATATGTGCCCCACTGTCAAAACTGTCATCCATGGGGCAGGATGCCAAAGGGGCCTAGAAACACCCTATTTCCAGGTAGTCTGGAGATGTCCTCACTGACCCTCTGTATTCAATTCACTGCTCTTCTGGGCTGGAGCCAGGGAATAAGATACAGCAGAGTGTATTTGGAGGAGTTACCACCAGCAATATCCCCTTCATTAAGGTTAAATAAGGTTGGGAAGTGAGAGAAATTAATTCCTACAGGCATCCCTAAGAGATAGGGAGACAACAACATCATAGCAGGAACACGTCCTAGGACTGTGCCTGGCACAAGCAGGCAGGACAGCACAGAGAGCTGTGGTCAGACTCACACACGGTGGCAGATTTAAGAGTGCACATGTCCAACCCAACAGTGGGAAGGTGATCTTTGTCCTGCTTGGCAGAGCAGAGCTGCTGTACTGGCAGTGTAAAAACTCTGTGAGACACAGCTCTGCAGAGCAGCTCCAGGGAATCCGCAGCCACTGCTGTCACTGCACAGGTTGAGGACACACTGCCGAGATCTCTGTGACAGGAGAACACAGCAGGGTAACTCAGGAGCGATGTGGCCTCTCATCCAGAGATGCTTTTCATCCTGCTCCTGTTTCTGACACATTGATCAACTGCTGCAACCTCAGGTAAAACCCATTTTTTCAGTCCCTCTAGCCTAGAGGTGACATGCCCTTCCTAAGGCACAGGAATGAATGCAAAATGTCTCACATTTGTTCTGATCAGGGCTCTGCTGATGGTTTTAGGGCTTCTCCCACTCAGAATTCTGGAGACGTGAGTATTTCCAACCCTGTGATCTGGTAGAAGCACAAAAGGCACATCTGGTGACCAAAGACACATCACCTCTGGGGACTTCCCACTTATGCCAGGATGGAGTTTGCCCAACAAGGGACCAGTCAGTGTCTACAAGAGCCTTTGACAGCAGAACATTCTGTTACTCTTCCTGTGACATTATCAGAAGAAAGACTGCACACAGTTATGTACATCCATTGAAGTCTATTATTTCAGCTCATTCATATGTTGCTGACTCACCATTCATTCACTTTGTACAACCTTTTAAAAGTCTTACACATCCCCAAACCCTGTCCATGGAATTTCTGCCTTAGATGTATCTCACACTGCACCAACATTAACTCAAAGAGGCAATAATTTTCCCAGGAGTGTCTTGTATAAAATCTTCCTCATCAGAGATAAGAGACAAGGTCATTCCACATGAGACAACCCACTGGAATGACTCTTTAGACACTGCTCGTTCTGGAACTTCTTATTCATCATTCTCCTCATCCTGATATTTCGTCCTCTAATTGCAGAAGTACTTTCCACTTCCACTGAGTGTTTCTTTGGTAAGGTAAAGACAGAAATGGATAAACACCACTGGGACTAGGAATACAGTGGGATATGGCTAAGAGATTTCTTCTATCTTGGGTGCATTTGTATCTTTTGTGGGAAATAGCAACTGGACAGTTAAAAATAGACAGCTTAGAAATAAATGTTTCTGCACCAATCACCATCAGATAGGTTTTCACCTGGGCAGAGAACCTCCAAAAACATCCTGCAAGCTGCAGGGAGTGGGGATTGATTCATCAAGGTACTTTCCCTTCTGAATCAGCACTAAATCTATGCCACTGTGATATCATGGGCTATCTGCCTTTGGAGGCTCTGAGTATTTTTAAGCATTCTAACAGCAAAGTGCTGACTATTGCTGGGGATTACAGATTCTGCAGAACATTTTGGAAGATAACTTCTGGCATCTTGCCACTTGTTATATGGAAAATATGTTGTATTATCTTCCATGTGTGTGGGGGTGTGAGGGTGCTCTGAGTGTCCTGGCCCTCAGCCTGCAAAGACTTACACATATTTTATGCAGAATAAAGTTAAGCAATACATAATGAACTTGTTCAGGCTCAGAGCCTAGATCTGTCACTTAAGACATGTTCCATATCCTTCAGGACTTCTCGAAAGGCAGCATCTTTTTCGACACTCCAAGTACGCTACTATGAGCACCATGCTGGAGCTTGGCTGAGTGGGACACACATATGCTGTTATCAGCGTAGGACTTTCCAGTGGAAGGGCCTGGTCCTGCTCCAGCCGGCTGGAGTCCTACGACTGGGATGCTCAAACTGGTCCCAGACTCCTGTACACACACAGGAATGTGGAGAAGCTGCTGTCAGATGCACAGCACACATTTGGTGTCATGTTCTTCTCTTACTGTCAGTCCTGGAAAGTTCTCCAGAGGCACTGAGTGAAGGATGAGGTGTAGCAGGTTGAGGTAAGGATGCCAGGGCATCAGGAATAGCAGATATTATCTCCCCTTATTGCTGGGAGACACTGGTGTTATTCCCATGGGGACCCTTGCAAAAGTCCTCCCATGAATGACTTCTGGGTGGGCTTGGGTGGGACGCAGAGGCAGAAGGCAGCAGAGAGCACATCCTCCCATGCCCGCCCCAGTGGGACCCTTTGGGGGAAGCCAGGGTGGCTGCACTACTCCCTAGAGCCCATCTGGCACATCCTGCTGCCCTCCCTCACTGCCCTCGGCTGCGGGGAGCCCTGAGGGAGCCTCATGGGGAGCAATGTCCGAGCTGCGCGCGGGGCTCTGAGGGAGCGCTGAGGGAACACCACAGGGAGCCCTGAGAGAGCGATGTCCGAGCCCTTTGGGGAGCTCTGAGGGAGTCCTGTGGGGAGCGATGTCCGAGCTGTGTGTGGAGCTCTGAGGGAGCCCTGCAGGAGCGCTGAGGGGAGCACTGCAGGGACACCACGGGGAGTCCTGAAAGAGCAATGTCCGAGCCCCTTCGGGAGCCCTGAGAAACTCTGTGGGATCCCTGCGGGGAACTCGGTGGGATTCTGTGGAGAGCCCTTCGGGGAACCGTTTATAGCCTGAGGGGAATCCCTTGAGACATTGAGTAGGATCCCTTGCAACCCTTTGGGATCCTGAGGGGAGGATTCCTTTGGGATCCCGTGAGTCCCTTGGGGAGCCCTTTGCGAGCGCTGTGGGGACCCCGCGGCGGCGCGCGGGCGCCCCCCCCGCCCCTGCGGCGCGCGCGGAGCCTCGGCGGGGCGGCGCCGCCCGTCACCTGCGGCCGCGCGAGGGGCCGGGGCGGGGCGCGGGGGCGGGGCCGGCGCGCGAGGCGGGGGGCGGCGGCCAATGGGGGCGGGCGGGCGGCTCGCGCGGCGCTCTTAAGGCGGCGCGGGCGCTGTCAGCGGGCAGAAGGCGCGCGGGTTCGACGGCGGGGCCATGGCAGCCCTCAACGGCGCAGTGGAGAACGGGCAGCCCGACAAGAAAGTGCCTCCGCTGCCGCGGCCCCTGCGCAGCCTGGAGGTGAAATACACCAAGGTGAGCCCGCCAGGCATGGGGCGCTGGGGAGCGGGTGGGCTTCGCCGTGCTGTCGCCGATGTTTAGTGGAGTCAGGGTGGTGGTGAGGTGTTATATTCTTAATACAAAATTTTCACCCTCAGTGTTGTTTTTCTTAGCTTCTTTTATTCCTTCTGCTGCCTGAGACAGTAGGTTTATAAGGGTTTGAGGTTGAGAAAGCAGATGACAGTGATGTTTCTAATGGAGCAACACTTGCCCCAATCCCTAATGCCCAAAACCTAATTTTTTCTTTTTAATAAAATATCTCTTCCAAAGCTGTTGCTCTGCCCCAGGCGCCCTGGGCTCCTCTCCCTGGCTGTGGTGTCTAACACCATCTTCCCCTCCCAACCCACCCGTGAACGCCTCCAGCTCCCCGCTGGCGCTCAGCAAAATCCGATTTGGATGGGGTGAGCCTGGGCAGGGCGAGGAAGGTTTTATCCCTCGGAGCCGCTTGCTGGGGTCGTGTTCCAGCGTCCTTGACCCACAGCTCCCCTGCGGGGAGGTGGCTCGGTGCCAGTGGTGGATTTGGGTGGTGGCGAGCCCAGGGCCGGTGTCCGTCAGGACTGGGCCTTGTGGAAAGGCTCTGCCATGAGAATGGAGCATCCTGCAGCCCCAGAGAGGAGCAGTGCTCGTGTTGGTGGCTCTTCATCCCAGCTCCATGGCCTCCCCACGGGATGAGGAGTCGGGCACTGAGCCCACACAAACTCTCACGTCTCCGCTCTCCATTGAGCTTCCCTTTAAACAGTCGCTCCTGACCTTTTGGTATAAACCAAAGGCTCCTGAGCTTGGTATCTGTGTCCCTCAGAGGTGGGGCTGGCTTGGAGCTGAGCAGGGCTGCAGAAATCCCTGCTCCCAGTGCCGCTGTAGCTCTGCGATCGCCGAGTCGCTTTTTGTTCCACAACAGCCTGACCCGCTGCCTTGCGCAGTGGGGAGAGCGTCAGGCTGGTTACTGCTGAGGAGCCTCTGCTGCCATAATTTCAACTTTGTGCCCAGACTAAAAGAGCTGCAGGGGCTGAATGAGTGTGTTACTGTTGCATTTTTATGTTAAGTATTAAGAAAAAACAAAATTCGAAGCTCATTTCCTTGTAGCGAGAAGGAGTGAACAGCGATAGTTTGTCCGGTGAGGTGTTGATTTGAATTATGCATCCAAAGTGTGCTGAAAGATTAGCAATTAGGAGTAATCAGTGCACTAGATTAATTTTTTTAACATCCAAAATTTATCTGCCCTTTATTTGTCAGATAAACTTGTCATTTAGCAGCAAATTGGGTCTGCAGCTGCTGGTTGCAGAATGGCGTAATGCAGCACAAACAGCTCCTTCCTGCGTCCAAAATGGACACGGCCATTTGAGTTCTTCTTAAACATCCAAATGTTCTGGTTTTTGTTATTTTTATTGTTGTGAACACTTTTAAACACTCCTTGGGGATCTTATCCTGCAGCCGTGTGTGTTTTCAAACATGCAGTTTATGCTCCACAGTTTTGCCAGAGACTGTGAGGGCTGAAAGAGTCAAGGTTGTATCTTTAAAGTGGAAACCAACATAAATTAAAAGTGTGAGTTTGATGTTTGATCTGATGCTCCCGGTGCATCTGAGAAAATAATGAGCAGCAGTCAATTTTCATAAAACTGTGAGGGGTTTTGTGCAAGCTCTGAGTTTCACCAGATGTTTACAGCTGACAGCATGGTTCCCTCTGCTTGGAGGAGATTTTTATTCTTGGTTCTACCAGTTATGGGGCTGGGGGAGAGGCAAAGTTTTTCAACAAAGATCTTTCTTATAGAGCAGCTTAGTGCTTGTCATGGGTGTGTGATGGAAGTGATCTGTCCACAATTGCTTGTCTCAAATTCTGGCTATGAAGCGTGAACTGTGGATATACTGTTCAATTTGATTTCAACTTCTGGCACCAAGGACTCGTGATATGTGGTGGATTCTCAGAATGATGCCAGTGTATATGTTACATTTAAAACAGCCTGATCCTGTCACTCTGGTGTTTTACTGCTTTAGTAGGAACATCACTTTCCCACAGAATTAGTGTTGAATGCAAAGGGAAAATCAGTATCCTTCCCAATCCTTAGTTTGTGAGCATATACCTGATATTGTAATTTTATGGTTCCTGTCATATTTCCCACATTTATAGTACAACTTTTCTTCATTAGGGAAATAAAGGAAAACTGGGGTTAAAATGTGTAAATGCTAAAATGTAGCACTTGGGTAACAGGGGTAGTTTGGGAGCACTGCTGTCCTAAACAGGAGTTAATATTTCTAACACTGTATCTTTTCTTGTGACTTTCCTTGGCAACATTTTTTGTGAAATTTTCTTTTTCTCAGCCTGTGTGAAACAGGTGGGTCCAGCAGTGCAGCTTCTACACCAATTACACTATGGATGCTTTTTTTTATGCAGAAATAATAAGAAAAAGTCTTTTCAGGAAAAAAAGCTGCCCAAAGAAAGAAAACTATGACCCAAAGCAGTGGGAATTCCGAATGTAAGAGATGCAACATTAATCTCCTGGTGGTGTGTAGAGACTCATAAACAAGATTGCAAATGTGGATGGCTTCCAAATAAAAGTACTAGCTTACGGCCACTAGCAGGCTACTAATAAAGATTACTTCATCTAATCTTATTTAAAGTATATTTATAAAATATAACACTGCCAAGTCAGATCACAGCGTGGATAAGATGCATGTTGAATCAATTAATTGTATATAGGTATTCATGCTCTGTTTACAGTGAGTAACAACACTCCAGTATTTAATGCATTTTCAGTTACGCAACGCTGGGACTGTTTGTTCTTGCTCTGGAAATGCAATATTTTGAAACACTTAAATCTTGTCACAGATGACTCCAAGTGATGTGGGAGGCTTGATCTGGCCTGCGACAAGGCATGGTGGGGTAGAGCCAAGCCAGAACCCTCCTCCTGCAGACACTGCCAGAGGGGAGCAGGCTGTGGAGGTGGCCCAGGGCAGGGCACCAACAGCCAAGTAATAATTGTGCAGCAACATGGGGCAGGGGGCTCCTTCTGCCTCAACCATGCAATTTCTCTTGGGGTCTGCTTGCTGATCCCGTGGAGATGTAGTTCAAAAACTGCCCATTTCTCACTGCCAAATCCCAGTGTTGTTCTCTGTGGGACCTGTGCTCTGCCTTCCTCTGCCTCAAAACTTACTGGGTGCACAAGGTTTGTAGAAATGCTTCTGTACTGCCAGCAGTCCCTTGGAGAGAGCCTGAGCACACTTGACTCTGCCGTGGATGGAAGTTGAAGAGCCTCTGGACCTTTGAAGAGCGCTTGTGGGTCTTTTTTGTCTATATAAGTTGTTTTTCTTTCTTCTGCCCATCCCACTCCCCTTGCTCTCTCTTCAGATATTTATTAACAACGAATGGCACGAGTCTACAAGTGGAAAGAAGTTCCCCACCTACAACCCTTCAACTCTGGAGAAAATCTGTGACATTGAGGAAGGAGATAAGGTAAGTGTTGTTGGACAAGCAGTGCAAAAGACATTTTCCAGGGGATTTCTTTTTGTAGGGAAGCACACAGAGGAAAAGCTGGCTTTTAACAGTAGCATCCATCAGGCCAGCCTGGGCCGGAGGTCTGGGACACTGGATGTGCTGCTCAAGAATGACATGGGCTGGGTGGCATCAGTCCTGTCCAGCTTGTCAGAGGCACTTTCCCTGGTAGGAGCTGGCTGCTGAACACTGTCAGAGGAATGAGACTGAGCATCATTCTTGTGCCATAGACTGGAAGGAAGTAGCCAGCCTGAGGAAATAGCAATGATGGTGTGTGCTCACCCCTGACAGGTTTTGGGCCCTGTGTTGGGGGTGGTTTTTACCCCAGCTGCAGGGCAGCCTGTTGGAGACACTGAACTGAAACCCCCCCCTTTTTAAAACACAAATAACCTGAGTGCTTGGGGGAATTTAAATTTGGTCATGCAAACATTGACCACTTGCTGCTGGAGATGTGGTGCTGCTTTTCTAGCTGGTGTTGTGGGTTCTGGTCTCCTGCACAAATGTGGCAGCTCTCACTAAAACCAAGCCAGTATCTCAAGAGCTTTAGTAGTCTCTAGTGTGCTGGAGAGTAACCTGAGATCTTACTGCTTGGGTTTGGTAACAGCCTGAGGTGAGGAACAATCACATGTGACAATTTTTGTCCAAAACAGCTCATCACATATGGGCCAACTGGTCTGACCTATGGAAAAGAGCTGGGCCAACATCTGGCTTTGTGCAGGAAGTCATGGGAAGGTGATTCACAGCTGCTGTGCCGTGCCAGGGCTTTGGTAGCTCATTGCTGTGGGCAGTAAGTGATGGGCAGTGTGGCCATTTCTGCCTGCACTGACTTCTTTTTCTTGGTATTTAAGCTTGTCCAGTGCTTGTGAGGCAGCCTCCAAGACTTACTGCCACTGGGGATCTGTGCATCCATGGGGCAATTACACATTGAGGCAGAACCAAACATTATGTGTCATTTCTTTATCCTGACTGGGTAGGACACAACTGTGTTTAATTGCAGTGGCATGTAAACAGTGGAATTGAAGCTGACTCTGATGCAACTGTATTTTGATAGGCAGAAACCATGACGTGGTTATTGTTCCCTGAGCTAAGTGTCTCCTCAAGCAGCTATAGAGTATTATGTGTGCAGTTTGTGCTTGCTTCTCAATGTTGGCTAAAGAAAATTGTTATGCAGAAACAACAGGCCAGTTTTGCCTCCTTGAGATTTGTCCCTGTCTGAATTCAGCTTCTAGCTTGCAGGAGGGTCACTGTAAACTTTTCCAGGCAGTGAAGATCTCTTCCCCTGAGTACTCAGTACAGGTGAGTGATTTCTTAGTGGAAATTGCAGCCAAAAATGTAAGCTAGCTGTGCTTTGGGTGCTGAGAGCCTCTTCTACATCACACCTTTTAAAAAGAATATTTTGGTCTAACTAGATTTTTCCAAGAAACTGAGTGGGGAGTAGACCTGGATCTGGATTAATTAAAAAGAGTTAATGGGTGACAACCATCCCCAACTAGCTGTTTGCTTTCTGGTGTGGCATTTGACCACATCCCACCCTCTTCTGGCAGACCAAGGTCCCTGAGGCTTCCCTTGCTCTGGTTTGTCCCACTCTGGGGCTGTAACTCCAGTCTGCTGCAGTCACCACAGGAAGTGGTGAGTTGTGCTCAGTGGTGCCTTGTCCCCCTGTTCTTGCTGTGCTGGCCAGTGCCACTGCAGGGGTGGCAGCTCCTGCTGCTGCCTTCAGCTGTGCTCTGCCAATGTTGGGCTGGGAGCAGAGCTCCCCTTCCCAAGCCCTGAACACAAACCTGCCCCTCCCTGGCCACGCAGAGTGTTTTGCTCAGGCTGCACGTGAGGGGTGGAAATTTGGCAGCCGATATCTCACGATGACAGTTTAGTCTGGTGCTGAAACTTGGCCAATGCTTCATAAGCCTAGAAGCAAAGGTTTTGTTGTCTGTTCTTTAGTTAGAGAATTGTCCCTTGATGGGACAGTTGAGGGATAAAGAGAAGTCTGTGTGGGAAAAGACGCCCTGAAAATAAAATGGTGGAAGTTTCCATTGAATGCTGGAATATATCTGACAAATAAAAGCTTAGTGTCCAACTGTTTGCCAGGTTGATAATGGAAAAGGAGTAACGCTGGTGCTGTCCCTAACACTTGGAGACAGGCTTTTTCCTTCTAGCAGCTTGCTGACATCCATCAAGGACAGGGGAGAAGTGCTCCTTCCTCAAAGCAGTGCCCAGCTCAGAGCATGGGCAGCAGGTCCACAGCTGTGGCTGTCAAGTCTCTGTCATGATCGTTTCTAAACAGCTCACTCTCATGGATCTTTCAAGGATTGTGAGAGGGATTTCTTCACAGTCACCCTGTCCCCTTCAGATTGTAGTGACAGACTGAGGTAAGACCACAGCAGACTTGCAGTGCCCTCAATAATGATTTTGGACATTTCAGGCTGTTAGGATGCTGTTTGGAACTTAAAGCAATTCAATGTGTGAACTGTTTGCAGGGGAGCAGGTCAGGGAACCTCTTCTAACTGAAAAACTGTAACGTGTTCATGCCCTATGTCAGGGGAGTGCCTTTCCAAAGATGTGCACAGGGAAGGCTTTTTGAAGAAGTCAGTAGGTGAACTGAATAAAGAGGGTCCCCAGTGGGTGTGTCCATTCCTGGCACATCTCCTCACTTGGAGCACTCTGGGGCACCCTGAGATTGAAGCAGAGCAAGGCTTTTTTGCAGGTGTTTTCCCCACTCACAGAGCCAGGGGGGTGATGGTCTTCACTGTGCTGGGGCAGGAGAGAGAAAAAGAGGATGGGAAAGAAGAAAGGAGCAGCAGCGAGCAGGACTTGAGGCAGAGGAGGAAGATGGACAAGGCTGCTCAGAACAAAGAACAGTGTTCACTTTGTTCAGGGGGGGAGGTATGTGATTGTGTAACTGGGGCTTGTATCGTAATTCAAACACCCCAGGTGGCTATGAAGGTTTGCAGGCATTTCCCAACACTGCAAAGACTTTGCAATCTTAATATTCTTAGTGGAGCTTTTTATGTAATGCTCAGTAAATCTGTTATAGATCCGAGTGGAGCACCAGGATGCATGGATCTCCTCCTGCTGTGGTTTTGTGCACCACAGGCTGTTCCTGGCACCTTGACAGCTCAGAGTCACTTTGTCACGCCTTGTGCCTACCTATTGCAACATGCCTGCAATGAACATGCCATTCAGACTCCCCTAATGCCTAGTCATAACAGGATGGATTAAGAATGGCATTTCAGCCTTCCTGAAGGATTTCCTTGTTTTTGCTGGTCTCTCAGGCCTATTGAGGCTCTGCAGAAAGGCTCTCAGGATATCACTTGGTGGTGCTACCCTGAGGGTGTTCAGGGAAAGCCTGTGTGACAGTGACTGCAAGCTCTGAGCCAATGTTTGTACCCAGAATGTCTGAGAAAGATGGTTGTCTTCATTTTTGTCTCCACAGGAACTGCAGCAGGGCTCATGTGCTCCCATTTTTAGAGGCTGGGGAAGATCTGGGCATGCACTGGAGTCCTCTGCCCATGCAGTTGTCTCACTCCTGTTCTGAGTGCCAGGGTAGAGGGAAGACCCTCAGCACCAATGGCATTGTGCCACTGCAGACCCAGTTCCCTGCACATCAGTGCTCCCAGCCTGGTTGCAGAACTAATTAATTGCTGCTAAGGAAAGGCTTGTTTAAACCTGACACACTTATGTTCCTTTGCCTGCTCTGTCACATAAAATATTGCCTTCTTTCAGCTCAAGCCTTCGTTCCAGCAGGCAGGATGGGGGATATGTGAGTGTGCAGTGGCTGGTGGTGCCTTCTGGCTTTTGTGATGTGCCAATGTGAATGCAGATCAACTGCAGCAGAGTGAGCCATTCAAAGGCCTGTGGTGGCTGTGGGTGATGGCCCCAGGCAGGACCTGCCTGGCTGTGTTCAGTGGCTCTGGGCACCTCTGCCCCACCAGCACGCCTTGCTGGACCAGAGCCATCCTGTGGCTTCCCACCAGTGCTCTTCCAGAAGGATGGAACTCTTTTCCTGACATTATAGGTCAGACTGTTTCAAAGCTGTGTGATTGCTTGGTAAAGAGATGCAGCCAAATTTAATGTAAGGTGCCACTGCCTTGGGTATGATTGCAGTTGTGACCATGAAGGCAGTGTGTCTCCCTACAACATTTTTTCTGGATTGAGCACCACACATCCCCTCCTGTGAGGGGGATCTGGCCAGACCTTATTGAATCAGTGCAGAGGCTCATTTCCTAATTGAATCCAAACAAGACTTCAGAAAAGGAATAGATGAGAGCAACTGGTGTAGTGCTGGGAGGAATGATCAAGGTCTGACACCCTCCCTCCTTTCCCAGCCTTTTGAGCCAGGTATTGCAGTGAGGTGCAAGGTCTCCATCAGCTGAAATGAGGCTTTACATACAGCAGGAATCTGTCCAAAGCTTTATCAATGCTTGGGGTACAGCCTTGGCCTTGTGGGTGTTGGTGGCAGTGTTCCCATAGATTCCATGGGATTGGGAGCCCTTGGCTTCACTGTTTTAATCAATGTGTGTGAGATGATGGGTGGAGTCCAGGGCATACAGTGGCCAGAGCAAATGAATGAAGCTCCAGGGGTGAAGGTGTGGGAAGAGAGGAATTTGCTCCCCATCTGGTTGGTAACTTGGTTAAACAGAGTTGGATTTGGTCCAAAGGATGGTAAAGGATGGGAGATGAAGGGACAATGGCACTCAGTGCATGTAGGGGAAATGTCTTTGTCATAGCACTGAACAGCAAAACCTTTTCCATCTGGTAGAAATGTTCTAGGAATGTGTTTAGGATCTAAGGGTGATTTTTGGTGTGTTAACTGCCTTGGCATGGGCTCCAGGGGAACTGGATGGTGGGATCTGAGCTGTAATTACTTCCCTGGGTAAAATCTTGATCTCATGGGGGATTTTCCTGCCCACACTTGTTTAGAGGAGGCTAATTCATGTAGGCCAGTGGCCTGTCATGATTCTTCATCCTCCCCCAGTGTCACATCCTGTATTGGCAGGAACATGATTCTGGATTATTTTATAAACAAGTCAGTTACATTAAATTACCCTTGAAAGACCCAATTGGTACTCAGACCTCAAGGTTGTTTATGAGCCCAGGCCAAACATAAAACATGTTCCAGGCTTGAATTCAAATCCAGGAGTGAAATGAAAGTGGTTTTGTTAGACAACTTGGTTTTGGCCACCACAGCACCAACTAGGAGGGTTTCTATGCCATTGTCCAGCTCCTTCCCTGTAACCTGAGGTTTTCCTGTGTGTGTGTTGTGTAGCCTGATGTGGACAATGCAGTGGAGGCAGCGAAGGCAGCGTTCCAGAGGGGCTCTCCATGGAGACAGATGGATGCCCCAAGCAGAGGACGACTCCTGCACAAGCTGGCTGATCTCCTGGAGAGGGACAGAGTCATCCTGGCAGTGAGTACTGGGAGCAGTGATAAGCCAGCAACAGCTGGCTCTGGTGTATCCCCATCTACCTAATGTTTTTCTGTTCTCTCCCTTCATGAAGGGCAGAAGGCAGGAGTCATGGCTTTGTTCCTTTTTCTGCAGGACTTTGGGGGTTTTAGAAGGCTGTCAGTTCTTCTACATAGTTGATTTTTGCAGAACTTCAGCTAGTTATTGAAGTGATTAAATATATTAATACTTAAAATGTGCTCAGTTGGTAAAAGCCTTTGGACTCTACAGGCCTTATGTGTCTTTCCAAATGGCACCCAGAGATCTCAGCTTAGGGCTGCTGTCTATCTCCAACCAAGCTCTTGGATCTCAGCACTCTCCAGCCCAGGGAAATGCATTTATGACACTCCATGCTGTCAGATGTGCAGGTAACTGAGCCAGTGCCCTGCTGAGGTCAGTGGGAATTGACACCTGTGTGACTGTTTTGAGCTGGGTCTCTTTCCCCAACACAGTGTCACTCAACCACATGACAGCCTTCAGTTTCAGCAGGACAAAACCAAAACATTTTGTTCTGAAGACAGTTCTGGGCATCAAGTAAGAGGGAAGAAAAGAAATACAGATATATGTGTGTATGTGAATAAACCCTGTTTATTTTCTGCTCACTTTTTGATGTGACTTTGGGACACCCTACTTTTCCCTTAACCAGAACACACTTCAAGCTTGCTGTGGTCCTTTTGGTCTGGAGGGCTTGTCTGGCATTGCTGTTTGCACTGCAGAAATCCAGCCCTGGCTGCCTTGGCTGTGTGCTTAGCAATGACTTATACAAATCAGTTGATTTAGCAGACATTCAGTGGATAACAATTCTTGCCATTCCAAGGGGAATGTCTGTTTGAGTGCTGTTTGGACCCTGATGTCTGTGGAGCATGACAGGGTATGACTTCATGTGTAAACAAAGATGTTTCAATCTACCAGGGGATAGTACTTCCTTTATGGATGTGCTGGCCATTTGCACCAATATCCCATTTAATGACCTGAGTGGAGAACAAAGCATTCCCTGAGCTAATGTCCAGAACAGTGTGAGGGACACGGGCTCAGCCTGGACTTTGTTTAGAGCTGATCAGCACCAGTGCAGGTTCAGTGGGGCAAATTTTGCCTTGCCCTGGGCTCAGCACAGATAGGAGCCCAGAGGTTACTTTACCAGAAGGCTTTTCAGAGGTTGGGTTTAGGCTTATGAAGTAGAAAAATTAGATTATTTCTTTTTCTAATAGAAGGAAAGTAGCTCTGCCTGATTTCAGTGACACCATCTGGACTCCAGAACATCTGTGCTGGAAGGTCAGTTAGGGTGAAATCATGATACTCACATTGTTTCTGACCAGTGCCCCAGCCTGTATCCCACCCACACTCACCTTCTGGAGGCTTCTGGAAGGTGCCCCTGAACAAAGCAGCTCGTGTGCACATTAGTTACTGTGTCTGCTTTCCCTTCTGCATTATTTGTATTAACAAGCTCATTCTCTAAATATTAGAGGAGGGAAGAACATTCCATGTCTTCAGAACAAGGCACAATAAAGCTGATGAGAGAGTTTTTTAAAAGCTCTTTCTTAAGAAAAAAACCCCAAAACATTGACTTGTCTGACAGTGCATGCACATTGGTTTTTTCAGACTCTGGAAACAATGGACACAGGAAAACCTTTCCTGCAGGCTTATTTCATTGACCTGGAAGGCTGCATCAAAACCCTGCGGTACTACGCTGGATGGGCTGATAAAATTCAGGGCAGAACTATTCCAGTGGGTGAGTACCTTCAGAGCTGGGATGGGATCAGGCTTGAGGGGGAGGGAGATCCATGGAAAGGCTGGCACTGAAAGCCTGCAAAAATAGCCTGCACTTCCTTTCTATCTCAGGATGCATTTTCAGCAGATGTGTTTCAATATTGAAACTAATGGGAGAACTTGGTTAATGCCTGGATAGATCTCTGGGAAATAATGTGTGGGCTCTTCTGTTGCATTTTTAACAGAGAAACTTTTGGTCAGGGCAGTCACACAGAGAAAACACTTTGGTCCAGGTATAGAAGTTCAAATATGGTTTTGGTGAGAGCAAGTTAAGAGAATGGATGTCCTTGTGGCATGATGAGCAATATGGAGTATTTTCAAATTTGGCCTCTTTTGTCCCTGCATGTGGGTGATCACTGAGGCTGTGTGAAGGACAGACACTGCAGACAGAAATTAGTCACCAGAGGCTTTGGAGGGCTGAGCTAGTTCAGGCTGTGCAGACAGCAAAAGGAGCCATGTCAGTCATATAAACTGAGATTTGTCACCCTCATTCAGAGTCGTGTAAAGCTTTGCTTGTCTGGACACTCCTTGTTTGTCCTGATTTGAAATCACTTTGAAAAAGCATCATTAGAAATGTTCTTGCTCTCTGTCACATCTTCCCAAAGAAACTGGGTGTTCAGCAAGAATGAATTTGAAAGGCAAATGGTCTTCCTGCTTTCTCTATGAAAGAGCAGCAGCAGTATTTTAAGGTGAATGGTACTGCTTTAGTTCCAGAGTTTCATCTTGTTATGATTTCTTACCAGGAGTGTAATTCCTGTCACACTGAACAGGATTCCTGCATAAAGTGGGTTTTAAAGCTCTCTCCCTCAGGGAGACAGGTGCTTTGTGCTTTTCAGTAGGACACAATCTGAAGGAAATTTGTTTGCTCATATCAGTGTGATAATGAGTTATCCTGCCCTCAGCCTCAACACAGGGAGTTTGCAGAAGGAACTGAACCCTGGATTTAAAAGGTTCCTGTGTGACTGTGAGTGGTGTTTGGCTTTCAGGCTGGCACAAGACCTGTACTCAGATCTTCATCTGGACAAAGCCATGAGTCAGGATGAACAGACAGTGTTCTCTGTCTAACAGGGGCTTAGTTCTGTCCCCAGCACACCTTCTGTAAAAGTGAGGATTTTGACTGTGTTGTGCCCTTTTACTCTTGTCTTGCAGATGAGAATTTTGTCTGTTTCACCCGGCACGAGCCCATGGGTGTCTGTGGAGCCATAACCCCAGTAAGTGACAGTGCTGGTGCCCTGCATCTTGCACAGAACTGGAAATTCCATGTGCTCTCTATCCTGCCCTGCAGCCTTGTGCTGCCTGGCTAAGCACAGCTGTTCTGCAGGGAACTCCCATCTCCGTGGCCTGATGTAGTTTTGTGTTTTACCCCCATGCCAATTGCTCTTGGCAACAGGAGTGCTCTGCAGTGGAAGGGTGGGTCCCCTAATCAGATGCTCTGTGGCTCTCTGAGGCTGACACCAATCACCAGAGAGCAGTCAGAGCTCTGACTCTCACACTGCTGGGACAACCAGCTCGTCATGAGGAGTGCTGGCTTTCTGCTGCCTCGTGCTGATGCATAGTTTTGGGTTTTAAATCATATCCATTATCAATTAATTGTGTCTGGCTGCTTTCTGAGCTTTCTGGGATTAAAATTTCTGGGATGAATAGTTTTCTTTTCCTTGAGGTCTCATTCTCTGCTGAGGGGACAGTGTGGCCAGCTCTTGGAATGCCTCCAGTGTTAGCATGTGTTGCTTGCTCTGTTTCAACAGACAGCCAGGAAGACTTTACAGCTCATGAGAGACAGATTTTGTTCCTGTCTGGTTGTAAAATGTGGTATCCCATTTGCCTCACAAATTGTAGGATACCAAGCTTTGAATGTGGTATCCTACAATTTGTGAGGGAAATGGTGCTGTGTCAAGATTCTGTTTGGACACAGCACCAAGTCTGCCAGAGCTCAAGAAGTCTTAGGACAATGCTCTCAGACCTGTGGTGGGAGCCTTGCTGCTGTTCTGTGTAGGTCCAGGAGATGGAATTGGATGATCCCAGTGGATCCTTTCCAACTCAGGATGTTCTATGATTATATGGTACTTGGATCAATAAGAGCTCCTGGAGGGTTTTGACTTTTGAGATAAGACTGAAAGAAATGCATATCTGCTGGACCCCTAGGAATACCAGGTCTGGATCCCAAAGATGTCTGGGGAAATTCTGCTTTTTCCTTCAGCAGGACTGAATTTGTAGCCCAGGTGATGAGAGGACATGGTCTCTTTGGCAGTGTCAGGGTGAGGCAAAGTAGGAGGTTATCAAACATTTCTCTCGGTGGCTTCAGAGCTTTTCTGGCTGAGCAAGCAATGTGACTGCTGCCAAGCAGAATTTATGATTTCAGATCAAAATCTCAGGTTCCTCACACTGATCAGCAGTTAGAAGGTATTTCCCTGTCACTCTCAGCCACCTTTGGCACTCAGCAGTGCTTTGGAAGACATCCCTTTAAAAGCCTCCATGCAGGATGCTTTGGAAGGTCACTGTAGGGGACAGAGTGGGGCTTGGAAGATCTCAGGTTGACCCCAAACCAGCAATAAATACAACAGAAAGTACAGAAACAAATTCAACTTAAGATCAACACTAAGTTTGTATAAAGAATGATTGGGGTCAACAAAACCACATCTGTCTTCAGTTTACTCAGAACAAATCTTCTCCAATTTTTTTTCCCAGTTCAATCTCGATAACACCAACAGCCTCTGGGTTTGTATTTCTACTTGATTGAAAGAGATTCTGTCACTGCCCTGGCTATGTTTCCCTAGCGCAATTACCAGTCCTCCCTTTGTCCTATGGCTTGACTATATTTTAATAATATTTTATTTTTATTTAGCTAGAGAAGTTCTTAGGAAGTGCAGCATATGGCTGATTTTTATCCCAAGGTGATATCATGAGGCAGCCCTGGAGTCCTTCACTGTTACTTTCACCAGGCACTGCAGCAGAAAGCTCCTAATGGAGGGATTTCATGCTCTGAAACTGTAGAAAAGCAGTGTAGGTGTAAATGGCTCAAGCTGCCAGGCCTCCAAGAAAACTTAGGAGAAAGAGACAAATGGGCAAGTTATGGGATGTGGCCATTGGAGAAGATCACTGAGATGGAACAGGTCTGGGGAAAAGGGTGAAGCAAGTTGAAGAATAACACTTGAGACCAAATTCTGCTTTGTCTCAGGGTTAGAATAGAACTCGTGGTTCAAAAGCTACACTGCTCATTTATTTGTAAGTGTGAATTTGTGGATTCCTGACATACTTGGCTTCTTTGTTGATAGCTGAAGGCCCTTGGCTTGGGTTTTGACAAGAAGTCCCCTTGCTGTTGGCCTGCTTCCATCATCCCTGAAGCAGCATTAATTATTTTTAATGAAAAAATCCTTTCTGCTGCCAAATGACCTTTCTGAGATTCAGTGTGAGCTAGATTTTCCACTTCTTGCTTAGACTCCAAGATCCCCAAATATACATGACCATGAAAGAGATTAGCACAGAGAGAACTGATGTGGACTGGTTCCTAATTCCAGATTAGAAAACTAATTGGAAAGGAACAATTTACAATATGAAGGAAGTATGAGACCTCCCTTAGATTTCCATGACTGAACAAATCACTGCAGCTTCCTATTTATAAAACTGGAACTGAATGAAATTATATAACTCCTAACTACTCAGCCAGTGCTTAACAGAGGAAAAAATAGGGTTTTTTTTCATTGAGTAGTTGCATTCTTTAATTCCCCACATACAGATGCTGTACAGAAGTGATGCATCAGGAAACTGCCTCCGACACAGTATCTGTGAAGAGCCAAAATCCTACACAAAATGTGATCAAACTCCTTCAAAGAATGAGGTCACATCATGCAGAAGGTTGTCCAGCTTACAGGATTAGTGTGAGGACTGCCAGCAATATCAGGGATCTCAGGGGGAAATCAAGGAAGTTGTATTCCTTAGCCCAAGCAAACACAGCATTATAAACAGACGCTCCTCTTTGTGGCTTTCCTTTCCTCCCAGAGCTGGGAAAAGGCTGCATGGGAGTGAGTAGGTGACTGTGGCAGGCTGATCTGAGCAGTGCTTTGTGTTCTTGCAGTGGAACTTCCCCCTGCTGATGCTGGTCTGGAAGATGGCACCAGCTCTGTGCTGTGGGAACACCCTGGTCGTTAAGCCAGCTGAACAAACTCCGCTCACGGCGCTCTACATTGGCTCTCTGATCAAGGAGGTGAGGACATCTCAGCAGCCCCTCCATGTTCTGCTCTCTTCAGGCCATAAGCTAGGCTGAATTTTGAATTGGTTTTTAAGGAGTCTGAGCATAACAAACAGACTTCCAGCTTTAACAGGCTCACAAAGGAAAGTGAGAACAACCTCTGTCTTTGGTCTTTTTTTCCAAAAGCCTTTGTGGCTGGCTAGGAGGCGGCAAACATCACAAAACCTGTGCATTTTTCTCCTTTCTCAGGAAGCTGCAGAGAGAAAAAAAAGATGCTTTTGTTCCCCTACCTTGTCTTCCCCTCTCCCAAATGAGGGAAAGGCAACAGCTCAGTTTTATTAGACAATGGGACAAAGAAGAGTGTGATTAGACAGCAGTGTTGTGTTTGTTGTTTTTAAGTGGGATAATTCAACCAAGGCAGAGTGCCCTGGGAAACAATTCCTCATCATTTCTGTGGTTCCTAGAACAATGTAGTTGTGTCTGGCCTGTAAAGTCAACTGAAATAAAGGCAAGATGATAGGTTGGGATTTTAAAATGCTGGTTTAGGGCTTGTCAGGTAGGATCTTGTGTCTGTTTATTGTTAATTGTGCAGAGGGGGTAGGAGGGGCACAGAACCTTCCAGCACTGCTCAGTACATCAGCTTCCTTAGCAATGGAAGGGAATGTGAGGGACTGAGGAAAACTAAAGGAGTTGTAGATGGACTTTGGCCTCTCAGTCTGTTTGTTAGGCTCAGTCAAACAGTGATTTTGTCCTTTCTTGGCTTAGTCTGGGAGAAAACAGAAAGATATGTTGATAATTGTCACTTAGGGCTCTTCCATCAGGAAAGGAAGTGGAAAAATAATACCAGTTAAGTATCTCCTACAGTTACTTGGCTTAATGAGATTACTCAAGGTGAGTGAATGAGTACAGGGCACAGTTGTCATGACTTCTACTGAGCCCTGCCACACCACTGCTTTTTTGACTCTGACATGCAGCTCCCCAAACACAGGCATAGCATTCCCCCCCTCCAAAAGATACCATTCAATTCTGGTAAAATTATTTTTTTCAGCTGAAATTCTAAGGTTGCTGTTTCTCACAGTTGTCCTTCAAGGCAGGAGTGTAATTAGAGCGCAATCATTTTATTTGAAGATGCTCCTTTCTCTGCCCAAAATTAGCTAAATTCTTTTAAGTTTTCAGAAAAATGAGTTAGAATTTTTTTGTTTTCATCTTTAAAAGGATGTAGAAGATGTTACCACACACACAAAGCTATGTGTTACGTTCAATGAAATAATTTTTGGCCAACCAAAATATTTGGCTTTCATTTTTGCTGAAAAACAGAAAAAACTTTTTGGCTCAGGGTGTTCTGAACCAATTTTTTACTTCCTTGTGGCTTTGCTGCTGACTCCAAACATCACTACTTGCACAGTTTGACATGCAGTATTTGCTTGAAAACTCGTTAGCCAAGATGCAAACTCCATTAAATGCATTTTTGTCATTGTCACATCCATAGAAGAAATGTGACCACCCTTCCAATTTATGAAAAGAAAAAAGGGGGGGAAAAGTCTTATGAGGATAATTTTTTTGCAAGACAGTACGTGAGCAATTGCTTCCTTTTTTTCTCTATTAAAAAGAAATGGCATTTATTGAGATTTGGTATTAAAAAGTCATAGGAAATGAAGCATATGTGTTATATCCTGGAATTTCATCATTAGAAATTGCAAGGAAAACAACCTTGTGCTATCAGTAGTAAGGGAAGGCTAACCTAGAAGAGCAGTAATCCTTGGAACTCTTGTTTCAGGAAATAAAACCAAACCAATCAGTCCCTCGGTTCTCCTTGCACTAGAATTTCACCTGAAGTTTTGCCATTTGTCTGTTTTGGCAAAATTACTAGTTGGCTAATCTAGGTTGTAAATGTGGTGGAAACTTGCATAAGTCTTGTTACCATCTGCTTTTGTACTCCTGTTTTATTAGCCCCATCATCTAGTGAGGTTTTACTGACTTCTTAATCCCTCTGGTCCCTGAAGAACCACAAATGTCAACCTTTGTTCAAAACAAGCTTTCATTCATTTACCCCTTGGCTGCAGCTGCTTTGCAGTAGCTGGGGGCCAAGTTTGGCCAAAAGACTCACTCTCTTTTGGCTTGAAACTGGGACTTCTCCAAGAATTCTTACTGAAACTTGGCATTTCCTAAGCATGGCTGTTAGTTTCACCCACGTCTACTGCAGCTGGTAGCATGCAGCCATGTTACTGGGAAGTCTGGAAAACAGGGATGTATCTGGTGAGAGCTCAGAGGAGTGTAGTACAACTAACCCAGGCTTCCTGGGAAATGAGCTGTGCTCTCAAATTCTCTGCAGAGCTGTTTTTAATCTCTGTTTCAGGTGGGTTTCCCTCCAGGTGTGGTGAACATTGTGCCAGGCTATGGCCCCACAGCTGGAGCTGCAATTTCTACCCATGACAGCATTGATAAAATTGCTTTTACTGGATCAACCAAGGTAGGTGATGGATTTCTCAAAGACACCTGCTGTTCCTCTTTGCTTTCTCTTGTAAACTGTCATCCATACAAGACTGGACCTAAGAAATGTCAGTGACTTCTGTACAACCAGCACTTCCTCTGGCACATTCCATGTGACAGGATTTCTCAGAAGTGCTTGTTATTTGTCTAATTCAGATCCTTGTGCTTGTAATAATCCCACATCTCTGAGAGCTGGGTTTTGCCAAACCACCACATTTCTGTAAGGACTGTAGGAAAAGGGGCTCTGACGTCAGGGAAGGCAGGCTGGCAGTGACTTAACATCTTGTCATTGACCCAGTGGAGCTGCTGGGCATGTTTGCCTGCCAGTCCTGCCCTGCAACTGGAAAACATGTCAGTCAGAGCCCTGAACAATTCTTCCTTGGCTTTATTTACCTCTGAGGAACTAGGACTTAAATAAAAACATGGCTTTGTGCCCAAGGCCTTCTCTGCTGACGTGGAGGGGATTAACATTTGAGCTTCATTCTGAGGCCTGCACAGTAAAGCACCTTCTATTTAGCTTTTTTTCCTGTAAATAGATGTGTCTGGCTTGTTTATGAGAGGGGTGGCCACAAGACCTCTGCACTATCAATCACCTCCAGCCATCCTCTTCCATACCTACATGGGAAAAGTACATTTGGCTTGGCCAAGACCATGGAATTGAACAGAGCTGAGACATGCAAACAAATCTGACTGCAGTAATCACTGCTGAAAATTCTCAAACAAAAGTTTGCTTAATGGGAACATTTTTCCACTGGCTGCTTTAGACGTTTCTTGCAGTAGATCTGCACCTCCAGAATAGAGGCAGTGTCCAAAGAATGGAAATGCTCACACCAGTGGGGGCAGCTGAGGCAAATTCAGTCTCTTACTTCTTTGAGGAACACTGTTCTTGTTGAGCATTTGCTAAATTCATCCATTCTTAAGTCTGCCCTCGTCATTGCAGAGTGTGATGTGAATGTGTAATGATGACAAATTACCTTGGAAGGTGTTCTTGGTCGGTGAAGGTAACTCCAAACACTCAAAAGCTGCAGCATTTACCAACACTACCATCTAGTGGCTTTGTGCACATCCTGTGCTTATCCCACAGGAGAAGGTGTGCTAAGCCTGTGTTCTGTACAGGGATCATGGGAACAAGCAGAGCACAATAAAGTAAAAGTTCACAGTGAGCTTTTCCTCTCCTGATAGTTGGTCTGATCTTGGAGTTTATTCAGTTACATGCTTCTCTCCAAATCCTAGATCAGAAACTTTTAGCCCAGATGAGACATTAGCTGTGTGAAAACAATAGAGCTTATGGACTCATCCAGCCCACATGGATCTGTTTGGGTTTTTAATGAAAAAGGAGTATCCAGTGGATTAGTGGCAGGAGAAAAATCTCAGCTGCTGGAGCCTGTGGGCAAAAAACTCCTGTAGACATTGTGCTTGTCTCCTAATCCATGGGTGTGCAGGAAACACCAAGGGAGACAGAGCCTTTGCTAATGCATGTGTAATTTACAAGTGTTTTCTTCCCCCTCCACCCATCTGTGAGTTCAGCTGCATCTCTGCAGCATTTACAGCACAATGCTACTGTTTCTGAGCCAGGAAGTGAAGCTAATTCAAAATATATTTTGACTTAGTTATTAAGCCCCAACTTGGGCTCAGTGCCAGCTTGGAAATGCTGATCTTAAACTCCAGGAGAACTTTCTCATATAGATCTCTTCTCTTAGGTTATTAACTCACTCCTCTTTGGCCAGCCAGCCTGCAGTAATGCCTCTTGCAAAGCTGGGATGCATCACTTATTTCTGCTGTCTCTAGGCCTAAGCTCTGAGTGACTAGAGAAAAACTCTCCTGGATTCAGGAGTCATGCTTGAGTAACAAGGGCAAACCATGAGAAATGCAGACCTGTAATTGCCAGACAGCTGCCCCATGCTTTCCTTCCTCACAGTTCCACTCCAGGGCAAGAGCAGTTTTAGTCAGAAATGAAGGTAAGGTTTCCATGTGCAAAGGTAAAATACAAGAAAACAGTTATAATATGAACAAATTCAAATATTATATCACTCCTAAGAAACTATCTTGCCCTAACACCTAAAGGTCCCAAATAATTTTAATTCATACTGTTTCTAACAAAATTAGTTTACTAAATTCTGAAAGCAGGATACAGAAGTAGTTCTCCTACACAGCCTGCCCTTTCAGACCTGCCTAAACCAATCCTTAATTCTGGGGCTGGTTTTGACCCAACACATCACAGCAGTAGATAACTCAAAGCATTTCAGAGTGCTCTCCCTGACCCCTACCTGCTGCAGCTGCCATCCAGGCTCTTCCACCCTTGTTGGAATCACACTTGAGATTTTAGGGGAAACAATTCATGTCCTCTTTGTGTCTCACTGATGCAGGTTGGAAAACTGATCAAAGAAGCTGCTTCTAAGAGCAACCTCAAAAGGGTGACGTTGGAGCTGGGAGGGAAGAACCCCTGCATTGTGTGTGCAGATGCAGACTGTGAGTATGGGCTGCTGGCAGAGGATCCAGGGTGGTGGGCTTTGTGGGTCTCTGCTGTCCTCTGGCAGCTCACAGGGCTGCTGTTTCCACCCCAAAGGCTGCAGGAAACCTGTGTCCAAGGGCAGGGTGTAGTTGTGCATTCCTGGAGCTCTTCCCCAGCATGGGGATCATTCCCATGGCCTGTGGTGCTTTCCCTGGGGATGGCTGCAGTTGCAGTTAAATATTGTATTTCTGTGTTTGCTGTTTGTGGGCTTTCTCTTTGGTTGGCAGTGCTGCAGAGCCTGAGCCAAGCCCTGGGAAGAGCAGTTTTCTGCAAAGCAGCCCCTCTGCAGGCTTTCCTGTGACAGGGGAATTTTGTAGGAGCTGATCTAATCCAGCCTTCACCTCTATCCTGGTGGTCTGCAGGGCTCATCTTGTGTGTTTCATAGCAATTTTGTTACATGACTCAGTAGTACTAGGAGATATGTTTAATCTGTGACCACCAAAATGGTTGGAAAATCCTATTTGGCTTCAGTAAAATCCTCTCCAGTCCTGCACAGCACACATTGAAAATCAGAGATATTTGTGCCAGCTGCTAATTGTGAGCTTTGCAAGGAGCTGGCCAAAGCTGGCATGCTGCTTTCTGAGCAATCATGACTGAAACTTGTCCTTAAGAACCAATGCATGGTATCAAGAATTGCCAGAGCAAGAAAAACTGATCACTGCCTTCAGTGAGTCCTTGTGGAAGAAAGCATCAGGAACTATGGCCAACTAGACCTCAAGACAAAAGGCAGGAAGGGAGGTGGATGCAATAAAAGATCTGGTTTGGGGGCAGTGAGGCCCTCTGAGTGCCTTCCATGGGTGTGGACCATTGTCAGCATTTTTTAAAGAGGTTTTCCATAGAGAAGGGAAAACAACAAGTCTGGAAACACTGGAATGCTGGAACTGTGCATGTGGTAACACTTTTCCCTCCTGGGTCTTCTCACAGTGGACTTGGCAGTGGAATGTGCCCACCAAGGCGTGTTCTTCAACCAGGGGCAGTGCTGCACGGCCGCCTCCCGCGTCTTCGTGGAGGAGCAGATCTACTCCGAGTTCGTCAAGCGCAGCGTGGAGTTTGCCAAGAAGAGACTGGTTGGAGACCCCTTTGATGCCAGAACTGAACAAGGGCCCCAGGTAAGTGTGTGTCTGAGAGTAGTTGTTGTTTGGTTTTTGGTTGTGGTTTTGTATAATTTTCCTTGTGTAAATATTATCCTTACGGACGCGGTCCCAGCAGAAGTGCCGAGGGGTGAGTAATGTATCGTGGCTTTATTTTTCCTCTCTATTTTAAATATCAATTAATCACAACTGTTGAAATGTTATGTTGTAATTTTTTTCAAAACACAAATGTATTTAATTCAGTTCTTATCCAGCTTTATGGAAGGGGCTGTCTCCCTGGTGCAGTAACACAAAGCATGTTGCAGTGAGCCATAGCTCTGTGCAGAAGAGTGCAGCTAAATGGCTATTCAGCTCCTTGGCTGTGTGGGTGATGACAAGTAGTTAGAGCCCAGAGACTCCTGAGTCCTCACTTTCCCTCTCCTCCTCTGCTGCCTTTCTGATCCTTTGGAGAAGTTTCAGCTGAATTAGGAGGAAGAAACATGCCAAACTGCTGTCAGAACCAGCCTCCTCAATACTTCCAGAGCCTTCCTCTTAGTTTTTCCTTTTGAGGCAATCTGAGTTGTGCTGTAGAACTCTGGGGGAAGATGATCCTTAGGTCAGATCTCCTAACAGGCCCACTGTTTGGTACCAAAAATAAAGCAAGTCCCCAGAAACCTATAGCCAAGGCCTCTTTTTCTCAGTACTGCACTGTGGGTTTTTCTTCCTTGGTGCTGTCTGTGTAGGATCCCTCAGAGAAGGGGTGGCTCTGAGGACATCTGCCTCTCCTTATCTGGATCTGAATCTCCACATGATTCATGCATGGTAAAACCTCATTGCTTGCCCTCATGCAGGGGGAATAAGATGAGGTACATCCCCTGCTCATGCTGAGGCTGCATCCAGCCCTGTAACTTGCCTAGAGATTTCAAACTGCTCAGGACTCTTAGGAAGAGAATCCCATGCTGAGATTTGCTCCAGCAGAGATGAGCTGACCCTCAAACACTGATTCCACAAGAACAGCTCCTGAATCCATTCAGTTGTGAGTTTAAAGGGTGAAACACCCTGCAGTGGTTGGAGCATGTTGAACTGGGCTGCTTGTTTAATTTAATCATTGTTCCAGCTCCTGCCAGGCTGGCAGAGCCCTTCCAGGGTGCACTGTGGCACAGCTCCATCCTCTGGGGTCACTGCTGTGGCTCAGGGGAGACCCTTTGCATACAGACCTGTTATTAAGGGTAACAGAGAGTTGGAATAGCAGTGTCTGGTCAGATTTTAACTATTTGTCCTTTTTTCCTGCTCTGGCTTACCTGTTATACTTGTAGGAGAGAGAGAACACCCACACACACCTGAACTTCTGTGTATGCAGCTGTCAAGGCCAGGATGGGAAGGTGTTGAGGGAGTAGGAGGAAACTGTAAATCCCAAAGCTCTTATGTGGTTGCCAGTTCAAAGGGACAACCACTTCCTCTGCAGCTATGGCTCCTCACTCTCTGGAGCCTATGTTGTGGGCACATACAGAAACTTAAGCAGAGGAGAGAAATGATGCAGTGTCACAAGGACTTAAAAATACCTCTGAAAGTAGCAAAGATTCACACTTGTCCACAAGTTACTCTTCAAATGTGAAGCTTCCAGATAATTTTTCTCTCTGTTCCTGAAGTAACCTGCTTGGCTGTGAGGGTTTTTTTTTATCTTGAACTGATGGACAAGGGAAGAATCACCAGGAGAAATAATTTATCTTCTTCATCTCTCCCCATCAGATGCTTCAGATCCAGCCTGTTGCTTTCGTTTTCCTTTGGTGTAAGGCAGGGTGAACATACACAACAGCATCACAAGAATGCTGCATAGATCCCACTGTGGGATGGTCACTGGCTTAGGAGCCAGCAAGGGGAAGGGGATGAAGCCAACCTTCAGGCTGACAGTGGTTGTAGCTCATCATCTCTTTGGTCCTGCATCAGCTGCAGGTGATGACAATCCTGTTCCACAAGAATTTGAAGTAAGTCACTCCTGGAAAAGTGGTCCCATGTGCAGCTGTTTGTTCCTACATTGCACTGCACTGGGTTGGGGAACTGGCTGATTCAGCTCTAATCCAGCCTTTTTGGAAGTGAGGAAGAAAGGCTTTGCTCAGGTCAGTCCCCTGATGTGGGTTATTGCTCACATAGATGCTCATGGCATGGCAGTGGGAAAAGACTGTGTCAGCTGCAGCATTGGGTTATGCTGATATAAACTGTGCTGCTCTGATTAAAATTAGGTCAACTTTAAACAGCATTAAATTTACACAGAAATGAGGCATGCCTCTGGTGAGACTTCAAAACTCACATGTGTCTGGCAGTGCTGACTGGCTGGAATTCAAAGGACACCACAAGAAACCTGAGGGGTGCTCAGGACTGTTTGAGCAGAGTGCCAATCTCAAATGCAGGCATTTTTAGACTTTGGATTCCTGGCTGCTGTATCACAGGAAGCAATAAAGTAAATCTGCACAGATGGCAAACTGGTTAACCAGTGCATTGTACCACTGTGAGCAGCAAACTGCATTAGATGAGACTGACATCCTGGGGCACTAGAACAGGGATTACATTAGAACAAGCCTGGACTAGTTTTGTTATTTTAGAACCCAAATACTGGGATTTGTGGACTGCAAGATCCAGTCTACAGAAATAAAACAAGCCCTAATTGTAGTACTTGTTAGCCAGTAATTATTCAGCCCAAAACATGTAATTTGATTTATAAGACAGTGAATATTTTCCTTATACTGTAGACATGCATTTTAGGAATAAAGTGTGAAAATAAAACATTTAAGTTGAAAGGGTGGTGTCCAACAGCCTGTTGGACCCAGTTGTGGGCTATTTTGTAGGATTACAAACACTAGGTTTGCACATGGAAATAATTCTCCTTGTGGTCTTGACTGAAATGAAGCAAGAGATGAAGATTTGGGGGTTCCCGGATTTTCAGTATTGCAGTGATCCTTAGAAGCTCCCTTCCCTATTGAATTAGATGAACAAATAGTAGAATTTGCTTTACCAGATCATGTGTTTTTAATAGAATTCAGTGCTTGAACCATAAATAATAGTGGAGTAGGGGACAGAATTTAAACAAGCCTTGCAAGCTCTAGTTACAATGACAAACAGTTCCACCCTTGCATGTCATTTTTACAAATGTTTTCTTTCCCCAGTGTCTTTTCATCTAACTGTAGTTTGCCTTGCAACAAGTTACAGCTGTATAAATATCCTTGTTTTGTTTTCTGTGATGTGAAGTGGATGGACTGGATTGGTCTGGATCACAGACATGCCAGGATGGAAAGCACTTGCAGATATTTTCGAATTATTTACGCTTGGCAACTAAGCAACCAGACAAATAGACAATGTGTATGGCACCTGCCAAACTCAGTGTGACACTGTATCCTACAGCAGGACACACATTTCCTGGGGCAGTAGCATGAATTAAGTGTGTCCTTGGGTAGCACCTTAACACATGAGAGAACACAAGCACTGAGAACATGCACAGTGCACGTGCTGCTCACACATCTCTTTGCCTGGAGATGTGCTGGGCTCTGTTTCCAATGTGTACCCCAAGTATCCCAAGGACACCATCCTGCAGCTTTGATATTTGTCTAAAAGCATGAAAACTTGGATTGTGTGTGGTCAGGATTAACTAGGGACAGGATATAGTCTGTAATCTGGAGGAGTCAAGTGTGGAACACTCCGTGTAAACAGTCCCAACTGGCAACTGGCCCTGCTGAAATAAAACCAGATGCCTAGGGAGGGGGATTGAGCCAGAACAAGCATCTGGAGATACCTCGCAATCAGAATAATCCCCCAGCCTTCCAAGACACCTTGTACCAGTGGGTGGAGTCTTCTTTAATCACCTCAATAAATTTGTTGAGCTTTTTTTTGAGTTTTTCTTTTTAAAAACATCTCTAAGTGTTTTACTATCTCCAGTGTGCTGTCTTGAGGAGTTTCATCACTTAATTCCACATCGTGTCAAGGGCCAGGTCTGTTTGTTTGAAACCTGCAGTTCTGCAGCCCACTGCTGTACATGGAGCACAGAAGGGTCAGCAGTGAGTGGAAGTGCTGTGGGCTTCTGCACCTGTTCCCAGCACAGGACACACTGTGCTTGTGGAGTGCATGATGTGTCCTCCAAGTCCTGGTGCAGCTGTGCAGCCTCAGGGTCCTGTCACTGGACTGGCCTTTCCCCACCCCTACAGAAATCTCTGGTTAAATGCTGACAGCAGCTCTCACTATTTGCGATTACTCCATAGCTAGGAGTTAGAAAAGGTAGTTAAATGTGAGAGAGGAAAAAAAAATGCAGGATTATACCAGTTTCTAAGAACTGTGAAAAGTGATTCTGGTTTTAAAAGCAAGGCTTTGGTGCAGCAGTTGTTGTGAAGTCACCCCACCAACAGGGCTTATCTTGAGGCTGTTGGTGGAGTGTGCACTGTGGAAGGAGATGGAGGCAGAGCTCACTGGGCTCTTCCAGTTGGGGACAGAGAGCTGTAGGTGAAGCTGCACACTGCAGCAAAACTGAGTTAATAGTTCTTAGATCCTGGCCCTCCCTCTCCTGTAGTGATTCTGCTGCTGGTCAGATCTCTGGCTGAGCTCTCCAGTCCATCTCAGGCAGTTCTCACACTGCTACTGAGATAAACCAGTATCTTACATGCTTGGAGAAGGTGAGAAATCCCAGAGCTCCAGTGAGGTGAGCTGTGGGAGCACACATCCAGGACAGGGAGGAAGGGAAAGGGGAAAGACTCCTCCATGTGGCAGCAAACTATTAAATCAGATTAAACTGTCACATGTGACTTTACCTTGTTTCCTGTGGCTCAGAGCTATGCCCATGTCCTGTCTTTCTCCCTGCTCACTCCCTGAGTGCCACATCCTAAACTGAACTATAAACTGACCCAGTTTACAGTGCCCTGCAAATGTGCCCCTGGGCCACATTCCATGACTCCTCTCTGGAACCGTGATAATAAAGGTGCTGCTGTTTGTTTCCTTCCTTTTGTGCTGACAGATTGACCAAAAACAGTTTGATAAAATCCTGGAGCTGATAGAAAGTGGGAAGAAAGAAGGGGCTAAGCTGGAGTGTGGAGGTCTTGCCATCGAAGACAGAGGCCTGTTTATAAAACCTACAGTGTTTTCAGAGGTCACTGACAACATGAGAATTGCCAAAGAGGAGGTACAGTACAAATCACCTGGAAAATGCTGCTTCAGAATCAGAAATAGTGGTAATGGAGAGGTTCTGTCTGAATCCTTAATTTTAAATATAAATAACTGAGTAAAAATAACTGACACTGTGGCAGGCTGGAGCAATTATTTACCCTGTAATTGCCAGTGACCATGAACAGTGTAATGTATGTTCTTACTCCCCTCCTTTGTAGAGAAGGGGTTGCTTTATTGCAGAAAAGTGGGAAAAGAACTCTGGGACCTGATGCTGGTAAGGAGCAAAGGAACAGCCACTGAAGTTCTCTGAAACAGCCTTAGCATCTGAAACAATCCCAGATTCCATTCTCATGGCAAAATCTCCTGAGGCTGACTATTTCTTTCCTGTATGAAAACATGGCCAAAGCCAGCAAAGTGCAGATCTAATACTCTGGCTTTCATTATTCATATGTAGAAATGTTGAACAAGCTGCATGTGATTAGATGCTGTGATATTCCTTTGAAATAGAAGTTAATCTACTTTTCATCATGTTCCCTAATGGAAAATAAATAGTTGCCAAAGTCTAACTGGCATTTGTAGTTTAAAGTTTAGCCTAGTGCTTTTTATGGGGCTGCTTGCTGTTCACTCCTGGCAAGATGTTTAAATGTCTCAGATCTGCCACAGAATCTCTAAGGAACCTGGGAAAGATATCAGTCAGTCAGGGCATGAGTTACATGCTAAAAATAGAGAGAAAAAGAGCTGAAAATCCCATGACAAACCTTTTCTTAATGAACTGACTCCAAATCCCAAGCCATGATTCACAAAGCTTATCCAGTTCCATTCATTGGCAGTTTTGTTGCAAATGCATGTTCATCCTTTGCCTAGGATTAAGGCTCCACATAAGAGCCTGGATATCCCAAAACAAAGACATTTATAAACCCTTGTATGAGCTTAAAAGTGGCCCAAATGAGTCTGTGTCTCACATTCAATGGGCTTTATTGTGCTGTGAGAGCCTGCAGACCAAGGAAGGGCTCCACCTTTGATACTGTGCCCAATGAGAGACTCCATCCCAAAATTTGGGAAACCTTCTGTATGGCTGTTGCTTCTACTGGCAACCTGGGAAGCCAAGTTTGTGGTCGAACACAGATGTGGTTAATGCACTGCATGCAAATAAAATGCATACAGTGACAAAATCAGGGTTAAAACCAAGGAAGAAAACTTGCAGTCCTTGAAATAAATTAATTGTTACTTGAGCACACTCAGCTTCAGAGTTCAAAAGGAGAGTTGTAAATGGAGTAAGGATGAATCATTTGTAACTTGTCCAGATCTAACTCTGCTTATTTTGATTGTTACAGATGATCCATTACTTGTTGGATCTTAACATTTATTAACTACTACAGCACATCACAATGCTTCCTTTGAAGTTTAATTAGTAGCTTTTAGGACACTCCATCAGTGACCCCTAGAAGGCTAAAATATAAGATTTTAAATATATTATCCAAACAGAGCATCTGATTCTGATTACTTCAAAACTACCATGATTAGCAGATGCCTTCCTGTACTAAAGTTTAATTGATATCTGCAGATTTTTGGGCCAGTTCAGCCAATTATGAAGTTCAAGAGTATAGAAGAAGTGATAAGAAGAGCCAACAGCACCGAGTACGGACTCACAGCTGCAGTGTTCACCAAGAACCTGGACAGAGCTTTAACCCTGGCTTCAGCTCTGCAGTCAGGAACAGTCTGGTGAGCAGCCTGGGAACAGAGGGTGGGCTGGGGCTTTGTTTCCTGGGAGGGGAGAGGGATTTAGGACTTGCAATCGTGTTAGTAAGATGATAAAGGTTGTGGGCTCCATCCCCATGTGTGCCGCTCATTTAAGAGTTGAACTTCGTGATCCTTGTGGGTCCCTCCCAACTCAGAATATCTGTGATTCTCAAATTGCTGCAGTTAAGATGGATTAGTAGCCTGCCTAATTCTTGATGTTCTGCTCAGAAGCAACATCCATTCCTCAAAATGAGGTGGTGAGTCCAGACAGCATGTTGAGAAATGGACTGTTTTTTCCTTCAGTCGAGGTATTTCTTTGTTGGGATTGTAGTAAGCTCCACCAGACATTGTGCCTTCCAAAACCCTGTGTGCAGCAAAAAGCAACTCTCATGATCTTTTGCCAGCACCAGATGGGATTTTGCTGCACAAACCAGTATGGACAGTAGGTGGCAACACACCACTGTCACAAAGAAAAGCAGCTATTTTTGCGTACAAAATTTCTTATTTTATATTAGAATGATTTCAAAGATGGAATCCTGATTTTTTTCCCACTCAGGACAGGAAGCTGATCTGGTATCTGATTCTGATGTAGAAGATTAATTTTAAGAGTTGGCACCAGAAGAATCAGTCACATATTTACATAAAAATGGGATGTTGGGCTTTGAAGGATGCATGTGCTGAACACACATGGAGGTGCACACTTCCAGCACAAGCCATGCCTCTGCTGCATGACCTTCAGTCATTTGATCGTACTGAAGTGCTGGGGAAGTGTCTGCATCAGCTTTTTCTACCAAGTATCCATAGAAATGGGCCCAGTGCTTTTATTTTACTGTGACACAATTGTCTGACACAGTCCAAATGTTTTCTGTACCTGGAAGGGGATGCTGGGGCCTCATTGTGAGTGTTTAGAGAGCTGAATAAACACGTTCATTTCAGAATGTGCTTAATAAATTAGGGAATACCCTGAACTATTTGTTTTAATCATGACTCTGAACATGGCATAAATTCTAGCTCAAGCATGAATGTCTTTGCCATTAGAGGATATGAAGCAAGATGTAGGTCAGACTGAGAACTACTCAGATGTTTTCTGTTTCTGCAGCAAAAGAAGATTTTATTGCAATAATCTGATTTCTCAAGTGTATGACAGAGAAAACAGAGAGATTTCAGATTTTATTGTGTTGTTGCTGTTGTCATCATATTGCTTTTCCTTGGTATTGAATTGTCTTTCTAAAATTGATGTTTTTATTGTAGGATCAACTGTTACAATGCGCTCTATGCTCAGGCTCCTTTTGGTGGCTTTAAAATGTCAGGCAATGGCAGAGAACTGTAAGTTTTGCTCAGTATTTTGTTTCTGTGTGGGTGGTGAATGCAATAACATTTGTGACTGTGAAAACACTGTTGAATTTGCTTTTAAAGTTTAATCAGGCTTGCAGCATGCCCCACAGGGAGGTGCTAAGCCAGTAGAGCATGGATGTAAAGCATTCCTTTAGGAGCACCTTCATCTGCTTTATGAGCTTTTAATAGCTCCAGTTCAGTCAAGTCCACTTGCAAGCATTTTTCCATACTAGTTAGATTTTTAGATGAAGGGAGAAGTGTGGCACCATGGCTGGAGACATTGGTATCCACCCCAAACCTGCTCCATCTTTCCATGGTGGTGTCTGTGCCTCTCTTGGCTGCTGTATCATTGCTCCTTGTTCAGGTGGGAAGGAATGATCTCCCAAATCATTCTCCATGCCACCTTCCCAGGTTGCTGTTAAATTACACAAGAACTCCCTCTCCCTCTCCCCCAGCCTGACCTGTTGCAGTGAGGCTGCCAAGACACTTCAGCTCTTAATAGTTACTAAAGCTGAAATTTTTAAACCGAGGTCACTCCATGAGTTACACACAGAGCTGAGACATTGTCTTAAATCTTAATTTTCTTCTTGTATAGGAGACAGGTTTTCTTAGACTATTCAGCAGACTCCTCAGAGGAATCTAACACACCTTTTTTTCACAAGCCAGATTTAATCCCAGAAACCATTTCCAGTAACTGTTCTGGTACATCTGCTGCTCTGAGACATTCAGGTGCCTCATTTGCTAAGCACAGCAAATAAATTAATCCTCAGATGGGACATAGTTATATATTGAGACCTTATGGTTTGCTTTGCCTGACTGCCTGGCTAATTAAAGGATGTCAGAGGTTTCCCATGGGAAGGGCCTGGGAACAGAGCCAGTTATCACCAACCAACACATAATGCAGGGGTGGGCTCTCTCATCAATATGCATTTCTGGAGCAACTGTGCCCTCCTGATGACATGCTAGATAGAAGCTTTCTTTTGGTGAAAAAATAACTTTAATTGCTGTCTAAGCACCAATAGCTGTGTGTACATGGCTGTCTCTTGTATGGCTTCTCACAGCAGCACTCAGTTTGCACAGGCAGAGTCACAAGCATCATCTTGTGGGTTACAGTGACCAGAGCACTCTGTGTTTCCCTCACAACACGGTGTAATTGTATGTACTTATGTGCATGTACTTGGTGGCTATTAGAGGTGGTGGGACAAGTGGATAGCTGGTGTAAATTGTTCAGATCTGGTTTTAATGACCTGATGTCAGAAATGCACATGTGTACAACTCTCTTCTCTCAGAGAAATACACATTAACATTCAACAACTGTTTGTCCTTTTGTCCCTCTTTTCTTTTGCAGTGGGGAGTATGCTTTGGCAGAATACACCGAGGTGAAAACAGTCACCATCAAACTGTCCCAGAAGAGTCCATGAGAGCAGGAGGCCTGAAATGCTGACACTCTGAATGTGACACATGGGGGACGTGTTCAGAGCAAGGGGGAGGGGAGGGGAGGGAAGGAACATGGAAACACCTGTCTTTATTCCTCTAGAAACACTGAATCTGCTGGGCTCCATTTTGCCAACTGGCTCTTCAAAAACTGATTCACTGACCCTGCTGGCAGTACACACTTGTACTGCACAAGTCCCTGGCTGTACATCTGCCTGCTCCCTGTGGCTCAAAACTGGTCAGTCACAGTGTTGGCAGGACATCTGCTTCCCAACTGTACCCCTGAAGGACATGGACATCACTGGCATGCTAGAGAGACTGCTGGTGCCATCACAGGTACTGGCAAATACCTTCAGAGGCACTTGGGTTTCCCTTGGCAGAGATGTACTCGAGTGGTAAGGAAGGGTTAGAACAGCTTGACTGGAGCTGGTGGAGTTTGTGTGAAGATTGCAGCTGGAGTTTGGAATGGGAGTGCAAGCTTTCATGGAAGGATCTGTAAGGAAATTCCCTTTGAAAGAGCTACCATGGTTTCTCTAAAGATATGTGCGTTCTCCATCCTGGTGATATTCTAGCCCTGAATGAGATTTGTGGGAGTTTCCTAGAGGACTCCTTTGGGGCCACTATGTCACCCAACAGAGCCAGACTTTCAAGTGTCCTTGGAACCTGATGTTTGGGTGTGCACACACTACACATGCTGCAAATGCAAGTTCCTGACTTGCTGACCCCTCTGGCTCCCAGTGAGTCACAGTTGTATCTGAAACCTTCACTACAGCACTTTTCTCAAGAGGATTTTGCACTGCACTTACCGTGGTGACACCGAGTTGGATGCTGAGCATGTAGCATGGTAGATACCCCACAGAAAACACCCCATACCAGTCCTGATCTGGGGGAGGGAGCAGAAGAGCTGCCCTGCACCCTCTTTCTCTGCAACTTTCAGGCTTTTTGAACATCTCTTTGGTTTTTGAGCCAGACCTATTACTTTGAGAGTAAAACTTAGCTGTTCACACTGCTTCTTTATCCTGTATGAATATAGCTGAAAATACATTCCTGGAAGTGCAGTGTGGAAAGGCAGGTGCTCCCAAGCACACCTTGAGTGCTGAAGAGAAGGGTGTACAAGCCAGTTAGCATGGAATAAGCTGTGGCTGGACTTCAGTCTGTCACAGCTTCACAGCCATTGTCCCTGTGAGTGCTGTCATCCCATGGCCAGCACAGAGTAGCTGATCCTTCACTGAGAACACTGCCTTGGATTGTCCCTTGGAGTGGCTGTCACACCCAGCTCATGCCTTAGCATCTCCTGCAGTAACTCCTTTGCATGCCCAGACATTATTATGAGATTAATTACCATGAGATGAATGACAAGCCACAGGCTATCTTCAGTTCCTGGCTCACTGCTTTCCCTCCTCCTGACTCTGCTGGAGAGCCCTGGCAAAGGCACAGCCATGTCTGCAGGAGTTAGTGGTGACAGCTTGTTAGGAAGTTCAGCTGATCCCTCTGGGATTGTCCTCTGAGAACAAACCCACCTTATGGCTTATCAGCAGATCACCTGGGAGCACTGATAAGGATTGCTGCTCCAGATGTCAGAGCTTGAAGCAGAAATGCAGGTCTAACCTCTCTTCTCTGCTGCAAGCCAGGATTTAGCCAGTACCTTCCTTTGCTCACAGATAGGCTCAGACAGCAGCAAATTCTGTTGCATGAGTGGAGCTTTTTTTGGAGGAGGAAGGAAGGTGGGTGGTGATAAGTAAGGAAAAAAGTTTGCATGAGCCTAAACTTCCTTATTAGTTGGTGAATGTTGAAATTGCACTTCAACATCACTTCACTTGTGATGTGACATACCTCCCACAGTAACCAGGAGCCTGTGCTCCCACGGGGTGTGAGGCAGGTAAATCTCCCCATCCAGTGATGAAAATGTCCTCCCTTCCCCATGAAAGGCCAAATGGGATCATTGTAAATAATTTCTATTTTTGTAAGACGCATAAGAGTGCAAACATCTTCTCAGACAAACATTTTACTCTTGCCCACCTGAGGGTTTCCTTGGGCTGCAGAGAGGTGAGGCAAACAGTAAAAGGCTGTTTATCTTGATGTATCTCTGTATTTTATGATAAACAGTGGTGGAAACTGAAATAATCTGAAATTCTTAAAACCCTACTCTTCTGGCTTTATATGTATGATATATATTTCACTTTTTTTCCCCTTATCAAGTTTTTAAAAAGTCAGTGTATCTCTTATTGTATAAATCAGGGTTTGACTCTACACACTGAATTTTGTAAGTTATATAACACTAGACACTAACTTTAAAATAACCCCTTAGAGGGTATATATATTCCTCCATTGCACAGTAAGGCTTTCATATGAATACTAGTTGTTTTTTTAAAAGAAAAGAATTATATTTATAAATTAGGATACACTTAATCTAATGTATTTTTATAGCTAAAGGTACATGAAAATGTTATGTTTAAACCTCATGTATATATTTAGACTATGGATATCTTTTTTGTAATAGTTCTTGTTCCTAATAAATGTTTAACTTTGTGAAACAGGTGTACCTGAGGATTTAGTATCTCACTGAGGCACTGTGAGGGAATCTGCACTTGGATTAATTTTTGCAATTTGGATTAATTAATTACATTTTTTCCAGTTTTTGGATTAATTTTTGTAATTTTAAGAGCAAAGTGCTAAGTGTGGTCAGTGTTGTGCACATAAAAGCTTGAGTTGTGCCATTTACCATCAGCAGAGGGAGGAGAGCAGAGCTGCAGCTGGCTGGGGCAAGCACAAAGCTGGATGGATCCTCTCTTCCTTCTGAGGTGAGCCTCAAAATGAAGTGTTTAAAGACACTGTGGCTGCTGCAACCAGATGGGGCTTCCTGCCTTGCTCTGGCTGCTCCCTAAACCCCTTGGGACACATCCACCACCAGAGTGGCTCTGCTGAATGTGTTCCCAACCCAGTTTCATTTCTCTCATCTGCAATGTAGATACAGAGCAAGAACATTCCATTGTCTTTTAACTCTCTTCCCATCTGATGTGTGAGAAATTCCTTTGGGCTCCCTACGCAGGCCAAGCCAAACTCCTTGAATTTTCCACTCACTAACAGCATCACTCAGAAGCTTTCAGAGTCCAGAAAAGGGAAGGCTGGAGATACAAAGGCATTACTGTGAGTGACATAATCAATGGAGACCTAAGGAAGAGTGGGATGAGATATGGGGAGGGAAAAAAGGGAAAAATTAGCCTGATTATGTGGGTAAATTATTGCCAAAGGAAATTAGAGGCTCTATCATAATAAAGGAAAAATTGTTATTTCAGGGTGTTTTCAAACATTGTGCTAAAAATGGTGTAAGAAAGGTCTGGGTAAGAGCTGGGCTGTGAGGCATAAAAGGGAGCAGGCTGGGTAAGAGGTGGAAAGATGGTGAAAGCAGGTAACACTGGTTTTTAGCTGTGTTAAAAGTCAGAAAACAGTGCTACGTTCTTGCTCTCTACCTACGGCTGCAACTGGACGCAGATTGATGGGGACCTGAACACAGGGAAGAGCAGCAGCGAACACCCATCTGTGTCTCCACGATGCCCCAAAGGAGCCCCAGGCAAATCTCAGGCTGCTGCAGCCCTTCTGTGAATGCTCATCCACCCCAAGTGACCAGCAGTGGCCCATTGCACATCCTCTGTGGTTAATTTAATTTACAGAATGGCTACGAACAGCAAAGCAAAAGGCATGCAGAAATGTTTGGGGTTTTTTCTTAGTTGGTCTGACGAGTGGGGGAAATGGAGCAATCCCTGGCTCGTCAGAGGCTGCTGGAGAGGAATGGGTCAGTGTGGGGAAGGGCCGCGCACACCAACATCCGACTCCTTCCGAAGAGAGGGGGCAACCTCGCTCCGCTCTTCCAGCGGGGACCGAACTCGCCGCGATCCGGGGAAGGAGCAACTTTCAAAGTGCAGCTGAGCCGGGATCTGTGCCCCGGTAGGGCCGGGCCCTGCCGGGACCACGGGCAGCGCTGCGGGAGCGCTCCTGCTCCAGCCACCGCCACTCCCACGCCGGCTTTTCCTAAAGAACGCAAACCCTCGGAGCCCAAGGGCTGCCCGGGGGCGGGCGGGCGTGTGGGCCGGGTCTGGGCAAGGAGCTCCATCCTCCTCCTCCTCCTGCGGGCCAGCCCTGCCCTCGGGGCAGGCCGGGGGCCGTGCCGGGGGACTCGCCCTTGGCCGGCGGGCCCGGGGCCGGAGGAGGAGCCGCTGTCCCGCTGCCTTTGCTGCCGGGCTCCCTCCGCCTCCCGGGCCGCGGAGCGAGGCGTGCGGGCGGCGCCGGACGAGGAGGAGGAGGCGGCGGCGGCGGCACCGGGAGCGCCGGCCCAGGACGCAGAGGTACCGTGGCTTTGCTGCCGCTTCTCGGGCACCTGCCCCGCCGCCAGGGCAGTCGGTGTGGGGGACTGCCGGGGCGGTTCACGTGGAAACGAGGGGGAAAACGAGCTTGTTTTTAAAGAAAATGAAAGTTCGGAGGGAACTTTGCGGGCGCAGCGCGGCCGCCCCGCCCGGCGGGGCCGCGGAGCGGCGGGACTCGCTGTGAGGGGACGCCTCAGCCCGGGGGCTGGAAAGCGGCTGGGAAGGCTTCAGTGACCCCCCAAAACGGGGTGTAGCGGCTGGTGTCCCCCAGGCCGGCCGGGGTGTGAGAAGGGATGGCTTGGTGCTCGCTGCTCACCCGGGACGAAGGATGCGGGTCCCTGGGCCGGCACCTCGGCCCCAGGTTCGCTATCGACACCGGGCAGGAGAGCCCCAGCGCCTTCCCTGTCCCTGGGTCTCCCGTGGCAATCCGCAGGTGGGATTGTCAGAATCAACAGGTGGTTTGGGTAAGACACTGAAGTTTTAGCAGGGTTTTTTTATGAATTAGGAAGCGATTTTGGGCAAGCCGTGATGTTTCCGGGGGCCCGGCTGTTTTCAGGCACAATGCACAGGGTAAGACTGAGCGGGATGGTGAAGTGGAGAGGAGTATGGTTCAGGTATGGGCAGTAGCAGGTGTCAGGACTGG